ATGAAAAAAATGCTAGATTGCAAGTGTAACATAATAGAACCAGCGAGCACTGCCAGCAGGTCTGAGGAAGAGAGAATAATTCAGAGATATTGTCATCTATAGGCCAATTTATATTGTTAGACAGCAGGTTCACATTAGTCTCTGATGTCACTGCAATAATGGCATAATATAATGATTGAGCAAAGAATACCTGTGGGGCATAGCTATATGGTGTGGTATATCTATACTTGTTAAGGTATTTCAGGATTCATTCAAAGCAGAAGCAGAAGAAGCCAAAGACCAGGATTAAAAGAAGAGTGAGAAAATGGTGTTCAGAAAGACTTCTGAATATTTTAGCCCTTGTTTGGTGATGATGAAGCAAGCACAATGTTGTATTTCATTGATTCAGTGGGTTCATGATTAAAATAAACTAATGTAGCAATTTAGGGGTTTTGTGCTTCCTTTTTTTTTCCCCTCTAACAAGAAAAAAAAAGCTTTTTAACAGTTCCTCGCGGCAGGCATAATGTGCATCTGTGCTCTGATTTACTGCACATGCTGCCTTCTCTAGCATCATGTTAAGTTAGGGTATCAGCATGGTAGGTCACACAGTGGGAGTGACCTTTTGCTAATCACTACACATCAGTTACTACTGGCACACAGCTCATTACTAAGAAACCCTCCAACTAGCTGGCTTTCAAATCCGCTCACACTTTGATTCTTTTTTCCCCCCTTTCTTCCTCCAGACTAAAGATTATACTTTTACATAAAATCTCTGTTGTGTAATTTTGCCAACTAGGGTTCCAAAGTCAAAAAGGCACCCAGTTAATTTTCCACGATTATAAAAGGCGCCTGAAAATTCATACTGAAGGTAGGCCTGTAATCTTGGGTTTCATTAAAAAGGTCAGAACATTTTTCCTCACCACCTATTATTAAAATGTTTGAGGGCTGCCATTAATTTGATTTTTCAGGACACAGAAATCTCACTGGAAATTAGAATGTAATCCTGCTGTTGCTTTCCTGACACTTTTCATAGGGCAGGATACGGCTACAGGGACTAAGAGCTCTCCTGCAATTTACAATTGGTTACTTTGGCCAAATGGCAGGTGACTAATGCAAGACAAACTGTTTGCACAACCTGGGAGCACTGGGTTTAATTTCAGCTCTGAAAGAGGGGAGAAAGTGTTTCTATTGATGTTGAACCGTGAGCTGTCCCCTGCCAATACATCTGCCACATTTAATACACAACACGCCCCCCGCCCCCTGACAATGCGATTATTAGAGGCGCAGAATTCAATAGCTTAAGAATACAAAACAGAGCTGGAGCGAAATGAAATGGTTTTTAACTCACCGGCCATTTGCTGAATGCCGCTGAAGGCACCCAAGTTACTGGAGGAAGTTGCTTGCTGCAGAAGCTGCAAATGAACAACACGACACAGCAATCTATCTGACAGTAATGCAACAAATGAAGGTAAAACTAAAATGAGCTATCATTTCACATTTGGAGTATTTCTGCTTTCCTTTACATTTATATATTCTCTTGCTTCTGTCTGCTGTTGGAATGAACATCCCTAGAGTCAATGCTGTAAATCCATATTAATGTCTAATCTCTATTAAGAAACACAGAGACACAAGGGAAACTCAATAACATGGCTGCTTTAAAACAATTAATCAATTTATTTTTTTTAACAACCAGGTGTTAAATCTATTTAAACCAACATAGTGTGACTAATTACAACCCTCTGTAGTCTAGTAGTTACCATAACTCATCTCTGTCAATCATGGTCCATTCTCCCCCACCCCTGTGAATTCAGCTTTTTCTTTATTATCTTCATGAATCAAGCACACAGATATTCATTAGACTGGTATTTGTATACAACAATTTAGCCTATCTCAGTATTAATTAGTCTACCTCAGTACTAACATATATTTTTAGTTGCTGGGTAAATTGCTGTTTATATAACTATGACAAAGCATTGTATGCACACAAACTATGCATTTATACATACACAGTACATATATGTGGACACATCTGTTTCATAGAATGACAGAATATTAGAATGGTTTTAATTGGAAGGGACCTTAAAGACCATCTAGTTCCAACTCCTCTGCCATGCAAGGGGACACTTTCTACTAGACCAGGCTGCTCAGAGCTCCATCCAGTCAGACCTTGTACACTGCCAGGGATGGGGCAGCCACAACTTCTCAGTGTCTCACTACTTTCACAAGAAAGAATTTCTTCCCAGTTTCTAATCTAACCCTGCCCTCTTTCAGTTAAAATCATTATCCCTTGTTCTGTCACTAAATGCCCTTGTAAAAAGTCCCTTTCCAGTTTTCTTGGAGGTTCCCTTCACAGGGTCCTCTCTCCAGGCTGAACAACATCAACTCTCCCAGCCGTTCACCATAGCAGAGGTGCTCCAGCCCTCCTATGGTCTTTGTGGCCTCTTCTGGACTTGCTCCAGCAGGTCCATGTCCGTCCTATACTGCGAGCCCCACACAGTAGTCCAGGTGGGGTCTCATGAGAGCGGAGTAGAGTAGTAGATGGGCAGAATCACCTATTTCAACTGACTGACCACATGGCTTTTGTTGCAGCCTGGGACATAACTAACTTTCTGGGCTGCAGCACACACTGATGTGTCATGTTGAGCTTCTTGTCCACCAACACCCCCAGGTGTTCTTAGGACTGCTCTTGATCCATTCTCTGCCCAGACAGTATTTTGCACTTGGGATTGCCTGACCCAGGTTAAGGACCTTGCACCTGGCTTTGTTGTACTTCATGAGGTTCCATTTGTCTAACTTGGAACCATGAGGAACTCCCAAGTTATCCAAGACCTGCTCAATCAGACCTCTCAACTCCAGAGCCACAAAGTGCAGAGGCTCCCTCTCAGCTGTGCTGCAGGGTCTTCCTTGTCCATCCAGACACATGGCTGTGGATTTCAGATTTTCCAGCACACACAGCAGCTCTGTCTTCTCTTCTTACAAATGGACCAAGGAAAATACCACTTCTAATTTATGAGAAACAGCTTTTCCTGGCCACATCTGCACTTTCTATATGATGAGCTATGAACCATGTATGTTTAGCATGGACAGGACCACACAGAACAGCAAAAGCCATTTACAAGTGAAAATGTGGAAAATTAGATTCTAGTTTAGAGGCTGCATCATACAGATATGGCCCTTACTGTGTTCAGCAGCCTATCTGTCCTCCCCTAAGGAAGAACTAAAATTTTATTCCAGCTATAAAAACCAGACTCTAACATTCAAGAAACCAATAAAAATAATGAAATCATATTTTGTTTATGGTGGAGGGGCTGGAATTAGATATCTTTAAGGTCCCTTCCAACCCAAGCCTTTTTATGAATCTATGATTTATTTTGCAGCACGAGGATATTTTAAATGCTTGCCTTTGACACCACTGACACATCTTCAAATGCTTATTCAGATTCTATTCTTTGTTATTTATTTTTAGACCGTGTGACAAACGTACCCAGAAGAAGACAAGCTATGTATACTGGAGGACTTCGCAATTTATTGCAGGGAGTTTACTCTAACTGATTTACCATGGTCCTAAAATAAATACAGTATAATACAGCCACCGCCTCTGCAATGAACTTACAGCTAGATATTGTGGTGTGAGTCCTCCAAGACCTGTGAGGTTTCCCCAAGTGGCAGTATTGAGCTGTTGCATCTGCTGAGCCAACTGCTGCTGCAAACGCCGCTGCTCCTTGTCCTTTTGGGTATCGGCAAACTTCACCACGATTGGCGAAGAGCAGCCCTGTGGTTAGACAGATTGGGAAAGACAGAAGGGTTAAATCACACCAAGTTGCCCCTGCATCATGAGCTCAGCCACATCCTGTAGGGCCACTAGCAATGGCATGACCAGATCCCTCACCCTCTCTTTGCAAGCAGCATATGAAAGGACTAAGATTTTCAGATTCTTAAGATAAGAGGCTATGGAGAAATTATTGATTCCCCAGTTCTTTTCATAAAGCACCTTTCCTCAGGCTCTCTTT